ATTGCGAAAGATAGAATCTTTTAGCCGTCCTCCTCCGAGTTCCTTTCAAGCAAGCTGGCTATGTGTTGTAGTGTGATAACAAATGTCAAAACATGATTTGGACATTTGGGAAATCATTCAAATTTTCGTATTGAATATTGCAACGACCTGTTCAATATAAATCAGTCAAAGAAATCAGCAAAATAAACAATTACCAACTTTTCCATTGTGACAGAATTCAACATCTGTGCCATATTATAAGGTTTAATGAGTGTTGTGATTTTTTAATTTTCTCAAATTTGTATGACGGATGGGGTAGATAAGATGAAGGGTGACAATAGCGTCAACTGATCTAAAAGCTCACAATTGTACACCTAGTTATCCAAACAAACAACCATTACTTTTCAATTTGGAAGATCCAAAAGAACATTATCGCTTCTATTAGTGTCTTAATCATGGAAATTAGGGAAATTAATCTTATAATAAACTCATTTAAAAAAGACTCACCCATAGACTTGGAGCATGCAGCCTGCAGCATATTACACAGGAACCAATGCTAGAATGAGTCAAAGAAGACAATTTCCAAGTAATGCCCTTTCTCTAAAGATTGATGAACATGAGCTCATCATTGTTGCCCTAGTTGTGCTTTAAATCCTATCTAATTTAATACAAAGTCAAGCTGAGAGCCATTAAAATAAAGGGCATTGACAAAGATAATATATTTTAATCGATGCTAAATCTATACATGGATTTTTTTCAGTAAAGTTTGATCAATTTGTAGTAGGCTGTAGCAAAACGCTCATCTTACCATGGTTTTTTCCATGCTCGATCTTCTCTGCTTCTTCCTTTTCATGATTATCCCATATTCCACCATAGCTCAAACATCCAGAAACATATCTTTAGGCTCATCCCTCACTGCACGAAATGATGATAACTCATCGTGGGCATCACCATCTGGTGAATTTGCTTTTGGTTTTCAACAGACTGGAAAAGATGGGTTCTTACTGGCCATCTGGTTCAATAAGATACCAGAGAGAACTATTGTCTGGTCAGCCAATGGGAATAATCTTGTGCCACAAGGATCCCAAGTTGAACTTACAAGTGATGGCCAGTTTATGCTCAATGATGCAACTGGCAAGAGAATATGGTATGCTGAATCTGCTGGTACTGGAGTTGCCTATGCAGCCATGCTAGACACTGGAAATTTCGTGCTGGCCAACCAAAATTCAAGCACGTTGTGGCAGAGTTTTGATCAACCAACTGATACAATCCTGCCAACACAGACTCTAAATCAAAACAGCAACCTCTATGCTCGCTACACGGCTACTGTGGGAGCAAATTTCCTCCCACGAGAATATTCTGTTGAAAGATTCCCCTTTCTTGTTCGCCGCCTCTTTCTCCCTGCAAAATAAATTGGATAAGAAGACCACACCCGGGGGGTGTTGGCCAAAGGCCCTCCGATGCCTAAGTTAGTTCAATTGATTTAGGGAAAAATCAATAGCTAAATAGGGTACGGAGATATATATGTGTGGTGAAAACCGGGCGGCCGGAGCCTTATGTAAAAGAGAGAGAGAGAGGAGGTGGCTAGGATTTGTGAAGGGAAGAGCTCTCTAGAGTTTTAGTAGAAATTCTGACGTACCTCATCCTTGTGCGTGGCCAAGTATTTATAGGGGGCCTTGGTGTGGTTGGTGAGGTAGGTGAGGTTGGTACATTTATGGATTTGATTAATTAGGGAATTAATCAAATCCCTAATTGTGGTAGGTGAGGTTGGTGGAGTTGGTGTATTTAGGGATTTGATAATTAGGGAATTAATCAAATCCCTAATGGTGGTAGGTAGGTTAATTTCCAACATAATTAGGTAATTCCTCATTTAATTGGATAACCCCCAATTAAATTGAGTAACTCCTAATTAGGTTTAGAAATTCCCAATTAGGTCAAATTATCCCCAAATGGAAGGTATTAGGGTTCTGATTTAATTTGGTTCCCACAGCTACAAATTACTCAAGAGGTAGATTCCTGTTTGCACTACAATCTGATGGAAATCTCGTGCTTTACACTACAAATTTCCCACAAGACTCCGCCAATTTTGCTTATTGGTCGGCCAAAACTACAGATATTGGATTTCAGGTAATCTTCAACCAGTCTGGCCTCATTTACCTTGCATCCAGGAATGGAAGCGTACTCAATACCATATCACCAAATGCAGTTTCAATACAAGATTTCTACCAGAGAGCAGCTTTAGAGTATGATGGAGTTTTGAGACACTATGTTTATCCTAAAAGTACTAGCTCAAGTGCCGGGCGGTGGCCCATGGCTTGGTCTACTTCCAGTTTCGTACCTCCGAATATCTGCTTGTCAATTGTGGAAGGTGTGGGTGGTGGTGGTGCATGTGGATTCAACAGCTTATGTAGGCTTGGAGATGAAGGACCAATTTGCGAGTGCCCTAATGGTTACAACTCTATTGATCCAAATGATGCGCTCAGAGGATGCAAACAAAACTTTGTTCCGCAAAGTTGTGACCAAGCCTCACCAGAGACGGATCTTTTTGATTTTCAAGAGATGCAAAACACGAATTTTCCTGGTGGGGATTATGAGCATTTTCAGGGGGTAACTGAGGATTGGTGCAGACAGAATTGCCTGGATGATTGTTTTTGTGCTGTTGCAATTTTCAACTCTGCCGGAGACTGTTTCAAGAAGAGACTCCCTTTTTCGAACGGGATGATTGACTCTAGTGTTATTGCGAAAACTCTGATCAAATTTGGAAAAGACAATTCTACTTTTAGGTCAGGTGGAGGTGCAATCACAAAAAAGAAAGATAATTCAACTCTGATACTTGTTGGATCAGTGCTCCTGAGTAGCTCGGGGGTCCTGAACATCCTCTTACCATTAATAACCTATTTGGTTGTTTCTCGCGTCTATTCTAGAAAAGCAAAGGTCATTCAACCTCATCCAGTCATGTCAGGCATGAATTTGAAGGATTTCACTTATGAGGAGCTAAAAAAAGCTACGAACGAATTCAAGGAAGAACTAGGACGTGGTGCCTCTGCAACAGTTTTTAAAGGAGTTTTAGCGTCTGATACTGGAAGGTGTGTTGCTATCAAACGTTTAGATGCTAAGGTCAGAGAAAATGATTTGGAATTCAAAGCTGAAGTGAGTGCTATCGGCAGAACAAATCACCGAAATTTAGTCCAG